CCAACTAGTTGAATAGCCAGCTATAGTTAGCAGGGTGGATAGCTACCCAAAGACTAGCTAGCTAGGAAAATAGCCAGGTATAACCAGGAAACTACGTAGCTGTACTACCCAAGGGCTAAACCCAATGAATAGCCAGCTAACTAGTTGATTAGCCAGCTATAGTTAGCAGGTAGATAGCTAACAAATAAGTAACAAGCTAGGCAACTAGCCAGCTATAACCAGCAAGCTACATAGCTCTACCCAATGGCTAGCTAACCCATTGAATAGCCAACCAACTAGTTGAATAGCCAGCTATAGTTAGCAGGNAGCTATAACCAGCAAGCTACATAGCTCTACCCAATGGCTAGCTAACCCATTGAATAGCCAACCAACTAGTTGAATAGCCAGCTATAGTTAGCAGGTAGACAGCTACCAAATGGCTAACAGCCAGCTATAGCCAGCAAGGTACATAGCTCTACCCAATGGCTCACTAACCCAGTGAATAGCCAGATAACTAGTTGATTAGCCAGCTATAGTTAGCAGGGTAGATAGATAGCAACCAAATGGCTAACTAGCTAGGCAATGGCCAGCTATAGTCAGCAAGGTAAATAGCTCGACCCAATGGCTAACTAGCTGTCTACGGTTTAATTGCCACTCGCAAATTAAAAGCAATTTCGAACGGTAATTTTTTAATCAACTCGCTAGCTAGCCAAGAAGCTTGCATGAACTCGTCCAATGACGGAGTTGTCGCGAAGATCTTCCCGACAAGCCAGACATGAAGAACATGAAGTACATGGAAAAGCTTACTCCAAGATGCAGGCAGCTACATGCAGCAGCAGCAATTACCAACACTGATATACCCCTCCCTCACTTGACACAACTGCTTATCACGCTTGCGGTGCGGTGGTTCGGCGGTTCGCAATTGCCATGCATCAGTACGTCATCGATTGTCAGAGACGGAATAACCGTGGAGATCCATGGAACCAATTCCTAGTGTTTCCATTCATACAGCTTCAACGCATAATGCTCACTTGCCCATTGTGGGAGTACTATAGAGTTAGATTTGGCAATCAACGACAGTTCGTGTGCAAGTGGATTACTGTACCCGACTAGCCAGGCAACTCGCCAGCTATAGCCAACAAGGTAGGTAGATAGCCTACCAAGTTGGCAGTCCCAAGTTCTTCTCCAAGTGGATTGGCTATTTGGCTATACCAAACTACCTAGCCAGGCAACTAACAAGCTAAACAAGCAAGATAGCTACCCAATGACTAACTAGCTGGCTGGTGAGCTAGCCAGTCGAGGAGCTAAATGTCGACGCAATGCTTGTAGCAAGATTAACACTTCTTATCAGAGAGGACAGGACTCCTCAAGAATCTTCCCTTTCTGCACACAACCAACGCACCTCTCGAAAGTGAAGGTGTTCTTTCTTGTAAATCACTGAAACTTCAGTGCAACTTCAGTGAAACTTCCGTACTTATCGCAGGAATCTCAGGCCGCATATCACGATCAGCAAAGAAGACAAACAGTCTAACCAGATCGAACCGAAGCGTTGCCCACTGTCATGTAGCAGCAACCCGAAAAACAACCGACAGACCTGTGTGCTGAGAAAAGCCAGGCCAGGAAGAATAGCCGCGCCAGGCCAGGCAGAATAGTCGCACCAGGCCAGGCAGAATAGCCGCCAGCCAGCACCACGTGTCTGATCATCCTACCCTACATAGCAGTTTACACTGAGGGGGGTAAAACTATTTGCCACAAAATGGTGCCTGGGGATCAAGCCTACAGTGTCACAAAATGCCTCCTGGGTGTCAAGCCTACAGCTAGCATCACCTGTTTGATCGACAACCAGACTTGGCAGGGGGATACCAGACTACGTCTTCTGAGATAACACACCCACCCACCCACCCACCCACCCACCCACCCAGCTTCTCTGTGTACCCATAATGCCCGGAGACCCCCTGGGCAAACGGTTAGTTACCCACAGCAACCAACGTGAAGCACCATATTTTGGATGCATCAGAAAGCAGAAAGCAGAAAGCAGAAAGGAGAAAGCAGTGTGGCAATAAACTTCAAGGCATGCATCGGCGTAATGATCAAAACGCCTCAAATCCATCTGGAAAATTCACCCCCCTTGACGTCAAGCCCACTCTTCGCATTTAGAAAAGACGACGTCTTTTATCTGCCATGGAGAGGGCAGCTGGCACGTACCTACCAGACTGCCTGTTGAGGGTCAGGACACTCCCAAAGTACCGCTGTCCATGCAGTGGGACTACCTTGGGAGACGGACAAAAAGGAGATTACTCAACCTGTGCGTCCACTGATCCTCCACAGGTGGGACAGCGGTACCCTGTCTGTGTCGGGTACCGCTGTCCTGCCTGGGGGATTACCTGGGAGATGGACAAAAAGGAGGTTATTCGACTTGCGAGTCTACTGATCCTCAGAGGGTATGGCGGCGGTACCCTGTCTGTATCTTCCAGGCAGACACGTGTGAAAAGCGTATCGCTGACCTTTCGCACATTATACTCATATACGCCCACACCTCTCCTGCCCTGGTGTTCTTTATCCTTGTGTGACCATCTCGTTTTCAGATGCCGAGAAGATTCTGAGAAGAGTTACATGAGGCAAAAAAGTTTTTGTATGGTTTGCCATTATGCCTCTGGACTAGTTTCACAATTACTGGTTTTGGCATGCACGCATCGTGCATTTGATCGCAACATATATGCTCCACTACTCAGTTTCTGCAAGTCCTGGGACTGTCGGAGATACGTTTGGAGTCTTTGGACTGTTCCAGCATTTTCAAGGTATGTGGACCACTACAGGGCCCAGATACATTCAGAATGTTGTACAGTGGAGCAACGAGCGTATGCAATGCCATGCCCGGTGGAAAAAACTCCCCTCCCCTTACATCCGTGGGTCATAAACCTGTCCCATGATAACAATGCTTCCGGAGGCATCTTGAATGATGTACAAAAATGGTCGGTCGACAATGAAATTGACAGGCCTGTTCCGAACAGGTGCAGATCTGACCATGACCGTCGCCCCTGTTGCCGCCGCAGCTTCCGAGCCTTCCTCGTTGACTTCAACAAAAGCTTTGTGGAATACTTGTGACACGTACAGTCCCGTGCTGACATCAGACATGGCGGTGAAGTTTGCGTACTCCGGATCGAATGCATCAACAATACCAATCGACTTGAGCGCATCCTTCAGCAACAGCGAGTCCGAAGCCACACGGAACCGTGGTATCCTCAGCTCAGATATCCTGACCTCACTGGAGGGGCTCAAGCTCATCGAAAGACACCGGCTCAACTGATCAGGGGTAAGCTCTGCCACAAGGTCGGCAAGGCCGTCGGCTTTTGTCGGCAGGAATATGTACATGGCTGCGCCTGGTGTAACCATTTCCTCATCCTCCGCATCCGGCATAGCATAGGGTAAACGCAGCACAGAGAAGTTCGCGGACGCCCCCTCATTTTTGCACATGCTGTGCACAGACCCCTCCAGGCCCCTTACCTTCATCGTTGGAACGTTGACTGACACTCGACTCGATAACATGAACGGCCTCGGTCGCGTCAACGCCGGGTCAAACTTCGTAGCCCACGGCGCTTTGAAATAGAGTGCATTCACAAGCACGAGCCGCGTAAGAGCATCCAGTGATCCCGGCGGAAGAAGATCTAGAATCTTCCCGTGTGTCGTGTTCGCAACCCAGTCGTTGATCTTCTCACGAATGGACTCTGCACTAACAGCAAAATCGACAGCTTGGGGAACCGCATTGAACGTTGAATTGGTAAGGTTGGTGAAGAAAGAACTGAGGGGGAAGTTGGAGTCGACCCACAGATTGCTCACAAAGTCGTACACCATTGTGTCGTTGCCTCCTGCCGCAAGACTTGCAGTGCTATTGCTATCATTGGTGGGTTTCGGCAGAGCCCGTCTCAGGTCATCACTCAGCCGATAGACATCCGAGGTATTCAACGCTGCCAAGAGCTGAGACAGAGTGTTGCCGCCTGCACCCCCTGTCACCATGGCCAGTACCCCGAACACACTAAGTGGCGAAAACACAACATTGGAGCTGCCATTCACACTTCCATTCCCGCTCGTGTTCATAGCTTGCATCAACTGGACAGCCAGCTTCGTCACCCCCTCAGGGGCCAGCATCGACATGTTATAAGGAAAAAGCGGGGCTATAACTGGGGTTAGGACTGGGGTTGGAGGGGTGTGTCGGGGTTTCATATACGCTGCACGTGTCCTCAGAATTCTGTGCTTGCAGCTCCTCTTACTACACATAGAAGATGCAACATGGCCGCCGTCTCCTGCCAACATCCTTCCCTCCACTTCCAAGTCACCAGACCGCCTTTCCTTTCCAAGGGTCAAATCCGCTCGCCGACTTCCTCTCAGCTGCCGCACCCCTGAGACAACCACTTGACGATGTTCTCGATCGACAAGTGTAATCTCATCGCTTCCGCCTTGTCGGATTGCATCAGGAGGTAACAAACTTGACGCATCAGCTTCCAGAACTCCAAGAAAAGCAAGGACCAACAGTAAGACGAATGCGAAATGCAAAGCCCGTGCATGGCGCTGTGGAAGACCCATAGCAGCTCCCAGTAGAATCGGCGGCGAAACAGCATGCACCACCACACCAAGCAGCATCAACAAGGAGACATCAGCAACAATCACCCTAGATCACAACCATACATCAGGTACGGATATGACTGCCAAGCTAAAGACAAATGTAACATAAGTGAGCAACAAGCAGGAGGAAGAGGAAGAAAAAGTAAACAGGGAATTGAGTGCAGGGTAACAAAGGAGGGAGTGGAGGAGAAAAGGAGGGCATCCAGAAGGAAAAAAGAGAGAATACCCAGAATAGTAGAATACCATACAAACCCACTGGCCCAGCTCAGTTGTTACACCCCTGAACTGTTGCAATCATAGTTGCGGCGCACCACGGTGCGCGGATTTGCGCACGCATTGCGCACCGAAGCGCAGCGCATTGGAAAAATTAGGTCYCCCCCCCCCCCCAAAAAAAAAAAAAGTAGGCGTTTTGTCATTTCTTAGGGCCCCCAACTCGGCAAAAATGTTAAACTCACCGCGCGAGCTCGGAAACCGGCCGCGGCCCCAGCCCAAACTGCCAAATTTCGATTTCAGCGGGCCCTGCCCCCAAAAGTTTCAAAATGGCAAAGCATAAAATAGGGCTCATTCCAACCTTTTTTTTAGGCAGGGAATGGAAACTGGCCTTCCCCCTCCCTTCTGCAAATCCCACACCGTGGTGGGTCAGGTTCGCAAGAAGGGGGTAGTCGCCTAATAACGACCTGCCCCGCGAAGCTTCGCAGAAGTCACAAGTTGCATTTTCCACGGGCAGCCGACCACCAATATATGCTGAAGATTGGCGTTCAGGTCTGCATGTCGGTAGTTATGGGTTAGGATGA